AAGGCTTTTTCTTCTTTTCTTTTTTTCTTTTCTTTTTTTTTTTTTTTTCCCTCTTCTTTTTGAAGCACAACAAATGTTTAGCTCACAGCAGCCCTGACGATTTCTTGGTAGAGGTTTTCCATGAGAGCACCATCCTCACCTCCCTCCCGGGACATTTGCTCGGGCTCTCTTCGCCTCCCGTGTTCACCTGCTGCGGTGGCACCGTGCCCGGCTGAGGTCACCCCGCGCTTCTGTTTGGGACACGGATCTGGTTGCTGTGGAAATAGTTAGGCAATGGGGGCGGGGGGGGGTAATACATAGCCTAAAGCCACATTTCTTTTTTAATGAGGCAAATCCTGCAGGTGCGAGTCCCTGTTTATGGAGCCCAGCTCCCTGCCCGAGGGAGAGGGGGGTGCGCTCCCCAAACTGGGTTTTCAGCTGTCTCTCTCAGCCTGGCGTGGGGCCATGGTGGGAGGTCAACCAACGTTCTGTGCCCCCATCCAGATATTTCGGTGTTTCCTCCCCCCTCCGGTCCCTCAGCGCTGCTGCTTGGGTGCCTGTCCATGTCCCCTCCCCACCCCGAAGGTGACGTGTCCTGCATCAGGGCCATGCTCTGTCCCGCTTTGGATCCAACCCGGGCTCTGTTTGGGAAGGTCCCCCCTTGGGACCCACCGGGTGCTGGGCTGCCTTCCAGCCCACTGCAGAAGCAAAGCTGCTGTCTCCATCAATTGGCGCAAGGACGGTCCAAACATCTGCAGCGGAGGGTTCCCCGTATGCCTCCCTGTGAGAAAACCTCTCCTCCTCCTCCTCCTCCTCTTCCTCCTCCCGCATATCAATGCGGACCATGGGCCAGTGGGCTCAGCTGGCGGTGGGGCCGCGGCCGCTCCGGAGGGGGCTCCTGGCAGGCAGCCGGCCGGCTGGGTCTCGGATCCGGGTGAACATACGCTGTTTCCCAGGAGTGTGTGTTCCCAGGCTCTGTGCAGCTGCTGGGGGAGGTGTATCCTGCTTTCCTCCCGTCCCCACCCTGGTCAAAGCAAGATGTCCCCAGGCTCCCTCCTGGGTGACCCAGGGTGAGTTTCCTCCCTTCCTCCACCCAACTTCATGTGGAGTTGAGGATGGTCCATGATATGACAGAGATGCTCGGGGCAAGGTTGTGAGAGTCGTGTCCTGATGCGCTGACCCCCCCCGTTTGACCTGTAAGCTAAAGTTTGGTTTGGGCTGGGACTGACTGCAGAGCTCCTCTCTCCTGAGGGCTTCTCAGAGGACACTCGGAGAGGCCCATGTGTTAGGTAGGAATTTGAATTTTACACATAAATGGGGAAATTAAGCAGGTCAAGGGAGGTGATTCTGCCCCTCTACTCTGCTCTGGTGAGACCCCCCCTGCAGTGCTGCCTCCAGCTCTGGAGCCCTCAACATAAGAAGGACACGGAGCTGTTGGAGCGGGGCCAGAGGAGGCCCCGGAGATGCTGGGAGGGCTGGAGCCCCTCTGCTGGGAGGACAGGCTGGGAGAGGTGGGGGGGGTTCAGACTGGAGAAGGGAAGGCGAAAAAGGGGAGACCTCAGAGCCCCTTCCAGTGCCTAAAGGGGCTCCAGGAGAGCTGGGGAGGGACTCTGGATCAGGGAGGGGAGCGATTGGACAAGGGAGAACGGTTTTGCACTGAAAGAAGGGAGATTTAGATTAAATATTAGGAAGAAATTCTTTCCTGTGCGGGTGGTGAGCCCCTGGGGCAGGTTGCCCCGAGAAGCTGTGGCTGCCCCATCCCTGGAGGTGTTCAAGGCCAGGTTGGACGGGGCTTGGAGCAACCTGGGCTGGTGGGAGGTGTCCCTGCCCAGGGCAGGGGGTGGCACTGGATGGGCTTTAACGTCTCTTTCAACCCAAACCATTCGATGATTCTATGAATTGTGGCCAAGAGAGCTCAGGGGTCCTTGGTATTTGTGTGTATGTCGGAGAGCCCAGTGTCCCTCTCTGTATGCTGACACTGAGCTCCTTCCAGAGCTGGGACACGGAGCTGGAGGCCTTTGCTCAAGCCTATGCAGAGAAGTGCATCTGGGACCACAACAAGGAGAGGGGCCGACGAGGAGAAAACCTCTTCGCTATGGCCCCAACCCTGGACCTGGAATTCGCAGTGGAAGACTGGAACGGGGAGGAGAAATACTACAACCTGACGACTTCCACGTGTGTCCCTGGGCAGATGTGTGGCCACTACACCCAGGTACCGAGCTGGTGGGGCGGAGGGATGGGATTGTTGGGAAAGGAGCTGTACCAGAGCTCCAGCTCCTCACAGAGCAAAGGCATGGGGAACCAGGCAGGACTCGCAATGATACAGGGGACCTGGACATGGTCCCAGCCATGACCAGCCTTTTTGGAGAAGACCTCTTTTAAACAAGCTCTGTAGCACCTTTTTTGGCTGCTCAGCAGAGCTGGGTGCCAGCTTGTCTTAGGCAGAGAGATGAGGTCTCAGTGTTTCTTCACAGCTTGGGTGGGAGCAAGGAGGAGCAGAGATGGTGGTGGTAAATATGAGGTTGGATGTATGAAGGGTTCCAGAACCAAAGCAGAGATGGTGATGCTCTACCTGGGTGGACCATGTGGTAGGAAAGCTGCGGTACTTGGATAAGTGGGCTGCAGCTCTCGGTTGGGAAGGCGGTCCAGACAGGGGCAAGGGGCAGGATCCTGAATGCTAAAGCAACGTGGGGGTGTGCGATCCGGGGCATACACTAAGAGATAAGGGGGACATGGTGTAGTGACAGAGCAGCCTTCAAGGCCAGAGGCCAGGTTGCCAACAGGGCATCTGCCTTCACCCGATCACCTCACCTTCACCCCTGGTCTCTGCCTTAGGTGGTCTGGGCAAGTACGCATCAGATTGGCTGTGGAGCAAAGTTTTGCGAGAAGATCGACGGAATCGACACAGAGGACATGTACCTGCTTGTTTGCAACTATTATCCCCCGTAAGTCCCATGCCTGGCATGGCTTGGTGCATCTTGATGGGGTTTCTGTGCTGGAAATGTCCTTCCTTCAGTGCCTATAGCAGAGCAGGATTTGGCCTTGTTCAGAAATAAACGCAAAGCAATTCCAAGAAAGGCCTTTGTTATCTTGGGTTGGTCACAAAGGAAGGAAGGGTTGTCTGGGCATCCATGCCCGTGATTGTGATTGTGATTGTGATTGTGATTGTGATTGCTGAGGTCTGGTTCAGCTCCTGGCGCAGAGGTGGGGAGGGAGCTCCCCCCGAGAGCCGCCCAAGGCTGATGCTGAGGGTACAACCGGCAGCTCCCTGCTCTGTGCCGTGTTCTTCCCCGCCGGCACCAGCGGTCGCCTGGGGTGGAGAAGCACGTTGGCCCCAGCAGGAAGGGTTGGATATGGGAGGAGAGGTGGGTGCCCACTTGCAGAGCCCTGGGACCAGCCCTGGGGACCACTTGCTTGGAGCTGGTGAGACCAACAAGAGCGGCTGGTCGCTGCAGACCTTCTTAGGGGTCTTGAGCAGGAGGGAGACAAAATCACCTGTCCAGATGCCCATCGACTACTCTGTTCTAAGGGGTGGTGAAGGACCTGGTCCACGGAGCCATCTCCCCTGGTTTTGGCAGCCTTGAGGTCGGGCTGTTGAGTAAATGGCACTGACAGTCCATGGCCAGAGGTTTTTACATGGCAAGACCTGGTTTTTACACTAATCCTGAGTTTTGCCTTGGCTGGGATGTTCCAGTTGAATCAGATCCCCTCTTTGGAATGGGTGTTTCCCCTTCTCCTCACACCTTCTTTTTCTTGACGTCTTCTGCTTCCAGGGGTAATATGAAAGGCCGAAAGCCGTACAAGGAAGGCCCCTCATGCTCACAGTGTCCCGAGGGCAGAGTCTGTGTCAACTCCTTGTGCGGTAAGTGAAGTGAAGCCGACGTGTGTCTCTGGACAGGCTACTGGGACTCAGACCCCTGGGTTGGGGTCCAAGCTCTGAACCCTCCTGAAGCTATCAGGAAGCCCTGGACCAGCAGTTCCAGGGCCAGACCATGAGACATCAGGTGCGATGGCAGCCCCTAAGACAGGTCAGCTGCCTGAAGATGAGGAGGATCAGACAAGGACCTTGTGCCCCCTTAGCCAGCAACCGTTGCCCCATGAGGATGCCCCTTGAGGGGCAGGAGGTTGTGTGAGGCAGATGAGATGTCTCCAGGTTGGGAACCCCAGAGTGGGAGATGGCCCAGAGTGACCTGAGAGGAGTCAGCTCTTCTTCACCCCCCGCTGATTTCTGCTGGCCCTGCTCAGAGCAGGGGATCTGTTGAGGTCAGCTGACCCCAGCCCTAACCCACAGCACTTTTCATCTCTTACCAGAACCCACTGTAGAAGAGACCACTCCAGCCTCTGTGACAACAAAGGCAAGCCCATCCACCCCAACCACAGCCATGCCAAAACCCACAACCACAGCCAAACCAGAACCCACAACACCAGTGCCCACCACAGCTAAGCCAAGACCC